GCCGGTAGCGCTCGGGCAGCCCGACTCTGTTTAAGAGCCGTGCAGCCCCTCGTGCCTCCGGACCCTGCGCCGCCGGAGCCCGGGAGGGGAAGTGCCCGGAGCCCGGGAGGGGGCGCAGGGTCCGGAGGCATAGGGGCTGCCCAAAGCCCAAGCGCTACCGGCTTCACGGTTTGCCGGGCAGCCTCCAGACCCTGCGCCCCCGGCTGGGCGCTTCCCCTCCCGGGCTCCAGCTGCACTGGGGAAGCGCCGGCCGGGGGCGCAGGGTCTGGGGGCTGTCCGGCAAACCCTGAAGCCGGTAGCGCTGGGACAGCCCTTTCCCCGTGGCTGGGAATGGGAGGGAGGAGGGGCGGAGTTAGGGTGGGGAAGGGGCGGAGTTGGGGCGGGGGTAGGGGTGGGGAAATGGGCGGGGCCAGTGCCCGTGGAGGGTCCTCTTTTTTTATTTATTAGATATGGTAACCCTAGTTTTAAACCATGCTTAAATACAGTTTAGCTAGTTAGCATGGACAGAGTTAAAACTACGAGGAGTCCTTGTGGCACCTTAGAGACTAACAAATTTATTTGGGCATAAGCTTTTGCCCAGATAAATTTGTTAGTCTCTAAGGTGCCACAAGGACTCCTCGTTGTTTTTGCTGATACAAACTAACACGGCTACCACTCTGAAACCTGTCACCATACAAGAGTTAAAACTGTATACGGTTTAAGTAGTTTTGGGCCTATCCACACTGGGCAGCAGCAGATATAGCCTGAACCAGTTTTAAACCAGGTTCATCAGACAGTTCCTGGCCCAGTGCAGACTGGGGGTTTGGGACAGTACCATATAGGCATTAAGGCAAAAGAGTTAGTACCATAAGGGCTACCAGTAGTTCCCTCACGTGTGCAAACAAGAACTTATTCTTACCTTGTTTTCTGCTAAGCAGGACAGCATTCAGTTGCTTCTATTTTCCTTCCAGTTAGCATCCCTTTTCTCCCAAGCTCCCAGTTGTAAAATGAAGCCAGTGAGCGCAGCCTAAGAATTACTGTTAACAATCACTAAACTCATAACCACTGTTTAAATTACAGGGGGGAGGAGGTGCTTAGAGGCCAGGCCCCCTTATTACTTTTAAGGGCTACCTCACTTCTGTCTCATGGACCTCTTACTTCTGGTTACTGTTTAAGTTAAAGCAAGACACTTGACATTCAGCCTCCCCCAACACTTCTTCCCATAATTCAAGCACTGCTCATAATCCTTTCACCTTCCCCTTGTCCCAATCAGACTCCTGCTGTACTGGTAAAATACAGCTTCCTAAGCCTTGCCTGGGCCCAAGTTGAGGGAGTTACAAACAGCACAGGTTGCTTGAGTTAGCACTAATGAGCCTCACAGTTGCCAGTTATTGTTTGTTTAGTGACTGCCCTGGGTCACAGAAGCCTAGGATAGAAGGGGCTGCTAGTTTAAAAAAACAACAATGCATCCCCAGAGTTAGAGATACTGATTTCTAAGCAGGTGATGCCTGTCCCTAATATACCAGCTTCATTTGATGTACATGTGCTGTGGCAAGGAGGCCAGTTCCAGTCTCACGCTTCCTTTGCACTCTCGCTCCTGCTTCCCCACAACCCATCTGAATTATTCCCATTCTCTCTCCTCACCAAGGCTGGGTCTACACTACCCGCCTGAATCGACCTCTCGGGGATCGAATTATCGCGTCCCGTTGGGACGCGACAATCGATCCCCGAATCGACGCTCTTACTCCACCAGCGGAGGTGGGAGTAAGCGCTGTCGACGGGAAGCTGCAGAGGTCGATTTTGCCGCCGTCCTCACAGCTGGGTAAGTCGGCTGCGATACGTCGAATTCAGCTACGCTATTCGCATAGCTGAATTTGCGTATCTTAAATCGACCCCCCCCCCCCGTAGTGTAGATGTAGCCCTAGTGTAGTTTCCTCTTCTCTCTCCAGAGCCGACATGAATTACAGCCCTTGGTACATGTACTGGTAACATGAGGGGCTGCATGACTGTAATCTTGGAGGGTACTGTTTGTACAAGCAGCATCTTGCTTGTAAAAGTCCTTTCCCCTCATGATCCTTCCCTCCATGCCTCTCTCTAGCAGTCCTGGTTCACCACCTAGGCCTTTTCTATACAACTCACATTCTTGGTCGCATGCCTGGCCTTCACATTCCTCATCCCTGTATCCCAGCTCACACTCCTAGTCCTCCTCACCACCCCAATTTATACTCCTGGTCATGCCCTCAGGAATTGCCCCCTTCTCTCTCAAACTCCTGGCCTCTCCACAGACTCCTGACTAAGCGCTTCAGCTAATCACTTTCCAACGTGCTTCCTCACACTGCTGCACAGACTCCGCTGTGGAGGGAGTAAGCTGCTCGGTGAGGCCTCCTCAGTCTGTGCATAGTGCCTCCCAGCAAGGGCATAGCAGGAAGTGCTGCAGTAGCTGGTGCTATCCTTCTTTGCAACCTGCTTTCCTGGCAGCATGGCTCACCAGGCCTTGGTCAGTGGCAGAGGGTGAGTAGATGGGAGAAGGACACAGTAGGTGGGAGGATGGGGAGGATGTTCAGTTTTGTCTCTTCCCCCACCCCAAATATTTTTCTAGTAGAGTTGTGGGGAAGACAGTACTGGAGAGAAGGAAAGATGGAGGGGTGGGGGAATATAGCCCATAACCACTTCAAAACCATGCTCTGCACCTGAGAGACCTTGAAGTCCCAGTTCCGTGAAGGCTGTGCCCACACAGACCCTTACTCCTACGCAGAGCCCCATCAGCTTCCTAGTGAATGGCCTATGTGTGGATCCCTAGGATCGGGGGCCTAGTCCAGAGTGTGATATTTTTTTTCCTTTTTTTAAAGAGTTCTGATATGTGGTGCGCCGGCAAGCCGTGGGAGTCAAACCAACCTTAAGCGGTGTTTGAAACCAGTTCAGTTAGTACTGTTTTAGCCCCACTGTACACAAGGCCTGTGATGGAGACTCTGGCCCTTCCCCTTCTTTAATCGTATGTAAATGTGGTTTCCACAAGAGTGAGGGATACAGTTATTTTATTTATTATTTTCTATGGACAGTTAGTAATAAAAATGTTTTTTTTATGTAATACCCACCATTAACACACTGCCAGCTAAAATACCCCCAGCCACCAGCAACTAAGATTTTCTCTACCCCGATCCCTCAGGAAAAGCCTAGTTTAATGGGTGGGCGTTTGCAGTGTGGCAAAATTTGGACCTCGGTGGGAAAGCAAATTCTAGAGTTCAGGGCTCTCCACTATCTCCAGCCCCAAGTTGTAGCTGTCCAATGTGGCTGTCCGTTCCAGCTCCAAAGCTGACCTCCACTGTTGCAGTATAACAAGGAGAGAGCCAGATTCTCAGATAAACAGGGACCCAACATACAAAAGAGTATTGCATAAGGCTTAAAGTCTAATTCTGCTCTTAGTGAAGTCGATGGCAAAACTCCCATAAGTGTGGGCACAGTTCCTATTGACCGCTCTGCCAAGGCTTCTCAATCCTAACCTGCATCTCTCCTATTACAGTTCCAAACCTATCTTTAGCTGAGACTGACAGCTGAGCTAAATTGTTCCATTATGCAGTGACTTTGTAATGAGGGAAAATATATTGTGAAGGGACCACTTTCTAGATGAGATGGTAGTTAAGTCTTCATGACCAGTTCAATCATTGACTTCTCAGCTGAGGCTTCTGACTAGGGCATAATTGCAGGGGTGATTTTTTTCTTCTTTTTTTCTTTTTGTTTGTGATGCGCATATTTATTGATTATGAAGCACATTGCTTATTTCGCTGCTTGCTTATTTCATGTAAGCTGCCATTATGGAGAAAAATGTTCCAGTCACTACTGAATTCAGGCAGATTTGAACCAGTGACTTGGATGTGAAAAGTTGAGACTCTAGTGTTCTATGCTCTACTTTCTCCCACCCCTGCGATAATGATGTAACACAGCGCTTGTGTGCTGATTTACATGATCAAAGTGCTTCAAAACATCAATCTTGAGCCATAACAATAGGACCATCACAATTACATTTATGGAATAGGACATACTTTTAAAATACATCAGATGAATTCCAACCCACGCTTTGGAGCATTAAGACAAGCTCTTAAAAACTGAGATTCTGTCTGCTTTGTATGGACATTAAAGATCTATGGCACTTTTTTTAAGTTGAGAAGTTTGCCACAGCTAAAATTTCCCTGACCACTCCCCACCGTTATGCAGCATGCCATGTGCCAATTGTCCATCTGGCTGCTATTCTCCACCCCAGGAATAGATGAATTTGAGTGCTGCATGAATTGATTCCTGAATGTCTTTTGTAAAATGCTTTGAGAATCCTTCTAGATAATTTCAGTGTGAGACATTACTATGAAGGTACAGCTACAAAAGCAATGGCATGAGGGCCAGGATCGTGAAAGAGATGGAAAAGGTTTTCAGCAAAACAAGCTTTTAGAGTTTCTCTCTAAAAATACTCTGAAAGGGGTCAAAGGTTCATTGTATGTTGGAAAGCACGTGAATGCTGTGTGTACACCATAGGCGGTAATTAGATCATCTTTCTAAATTATGTTATCAGGAAACGTCTGATGTATGGGTCTAAAATACTCTAGATTATACTCTGAGAATAGAATGTTCTCTGCATAAAGAGTGAGCTTGTATTAAATCAATGAGAATGTACTCAGAAACATCAATTAAAGTTAATAGGATTCTTTACCACAGCACCAGGAAGCTGGAATAGTTTAAAATACTTAAGTCTCCTAACCCTCTTTGCTTCCCTAGGAAACTTAAAAAAAAAACCAAATGGGAAAATTGGGTCCCAGGTGTCTCAAGATGAGCAGCTTAAACATTCCACCTTTCCAAAATGAGCAGACACTTTTGACTAGAAGGTCACAAAACAAATCCATGACAGAGCTGGGAATAGAATCAAGGTCTTCAGATTCCCAATCCTGTGCCTTACCCACTGCACTCAGATACAGAAATGGCACAATTCTGGGTACTTTGAATGTGATTAGTGGCTATCTGTAGTACTAGCCAGTGGAGTTCATATTTAAATGCCATTCAAACAATTATCTGTTGGGTCCAATGGTTGCTCTACTGTTGGGGCATTTGGGACACTAACCTTAGTTTACCTTCATTATAATTTCATGCACCATTCAGAGAGGTTAATTCAGCTGCAAAATTTGGATCTGGATCTAATTTGGAACTGCCCCTAAGCTCAAGGCAGTTCATATCAGAGTGTTTTGATTCAGGCCCCGCTCTAATCTCCAAGTTGCTCAGATAGCATGGTGATGAGCTTGTGATAGTTGGATAGCAAATCCCCTCCTGGATACTTGGTAGAGAAAGGGCCCTCTGTAGAATTAATAAGCTTTTTCAGCTGAGCTAATTATTCAGCGGCTGGTATTTCTCATTCTCTGTATTATACAGGACAGCAGATTCCATTCACAACTCATACACCAAATAGCTTTAGGGCCTTCAGTTTTAGTGGTTTGTTTTATTAATATTTGTTTTTTAAAATGCTTTTTCTCTTCAGGCAAAACCTGCTCTCTTTTCGTCACAATCCCTGTAATGAATTGAGGTATACAAAGCTGGTCATACAATACGTAGCAGCAGCGCGGAGAAAGACTCTTAGGGAAGAGTTTCCATAGAAACACTGACGTCCTGCCCTGCTAACAGGACATCGAGTTCCTTGAACGGGAGGTACGTTTTTTTTTAAAGGCGCAGTTAGATGGCAGAAAGCCAACCGAGCAGAGCTATGATTGCTTCTCCCAGCAGAATAGGATTTGTAGTTGGGGAAAAAAGAAGCTACCCTTGTATTATAAAATTTATGCTTTGATGACTAAATGATACAATATGTATCATGGTAAATAATTAAACTGCTGACCATACAGTGATCAATAGAGAGAGCCAGAAAATGTTAAAATGGTATTTGAGGCTGTGAAATAATGCTTCTAAAACCCAGTCAGATTGTCACAAATTCCATCCCTAGGTGCCTTAAATTCAGCACAAACCCACATGATGCAGACAAAAAGGCTCCAAGGGGCATCCAAGGTTGCACCTCAATGGTACAGCCTCCCTGGTTGGCCTTGGATTGAGACAAACGTTTTGCTAATGCTCTAGTTCGCTATTTTAAATAGCGTCATGCTTACCTGGCTAAATAATGGCAGAGCAGCTGTGTCTGGAATAGATAGTTTCTAAGAGGGGAAGCACAGTCAAAGGAAATATTTGTATTAGCAGGGTCAGAAATCATTCAAAATAAAACTGCATTATGCAAAAAATCCACCACTGAAAGCTTTCTGGCAGGTTTGTTCATGCTAATGAGCTATTTTGGTACAGAGAAAGACACACAGATAATCTTGATAAATCTGACAAATATAAAGTTCTCAGAAAATATGGCCTGGTGTCTGCAGTAGTGACCTGATCGAAAGCTCATTGAAGTCAATGGGAGTCTTTCCATTGGCTTCAGGGGACTTTTGCTCAGGCCCTGGGAGATAACATGCCTGATCCCCAGTCTGAGAAAGAGAGCAGCCATCTGAGTGAATATCCTTTGGCCTCAGCATTATTAACTTCCTCAGGCTATTTTTGCTTAAACCTGGATAGCTTTATCAGAATTCAGAGAACTATCAGATGCAGTAAAACACATCTCTGTTCAGATTCTTATACTTGCCTGACTCCAGAATATCTGAGCACTCATGATGAGTTATACAATGTGAAGAATATCTGTCATTTACAGTTCTGTCTCCATTCCTCTCCACAGGATGATATACTGCTTGCGTGTCTTTTTGTTAAAGGTGATGTTCTATGCAGGGCCGGTGAGTTATATGGGCCCGTGGTGCCTGGGCTCCTGCAAACTCAGGGCCCAGCTCCACCAATGTTCGGGGCTGGGTCTCTCCCCGGCCCAACCTGCTGCCCCCGCATGTCTCCCCCAGAGCATCCCCAGCCCCGCATGCCTCCCCCAGGCAGCGGGTGGCTGCTCCCTGCAGCTCTGCACTGTGCTCCCTCGCTGGCCGCTTCGGGTTACAAGGGAGCGGTGCCAGGGGCAGGCTGAGGTGGCTGAGGGAGCCCCCCGGCAGGCAACTCCGAGTTGACTCCGAAGGGGCGGGGGTGGGGGGGCTTATCCTGGCTGGACCTCCTGAGCAGCAGCCTGGGGAGAGCTTGGGTGAGTGTTGTGCCAGGGGAGCCGGGGAGGGGCCCCCTCTCCCCCAGAGCTCACTGCTGCTGTGAGGAGAGGGCTGGGGGAGTCTTCTCTGGCCCCCAGTGCTGGGGCAATCTGCCTGCTGCACTCCAAACTCCTCATCCCTGGCCCAGCCCCATGCCCTGCATCCCCTCCTGCATCCCAACCCTGGCCCGGCCCAGAGCCCGCACCAAGCACCCAAACCCCCTCCTGCACCCAGCACCCCAAACCCCCTCCCACACCCCCTCCTGCACCCCAACCCCCTGTCCCAGCCCAGAGCCCACACCCAGCACCCAAACTCCCTCCCAAAGCCTGCACCCTGCACCCCAACCTCCTACCCTAGCCCAGAGCCTGCACCCAGCACCCAAACTCCCTCTCAGAGCCCGCACCCCTCGTGCATCCAAACTTCCTCCCAGAGCCTTAGGCAGGTGGGGGGGGGAGGGAGGAGGGAGGGACTTGGACCCGTTCTGGGCACCACCAAAAATTATACAAACCTGTCACTCCTGGTTCTGTGCAGTATGCATTTTTATTTGTGAAGACAAGGTGGAGGAAGGGTCTTTTGCATTTGGACTGGAAAGTGTTGAGGTCGTTTCTACCTCCTGCAGAAGTGATTCCACGGTTTGGACCAGCCCCAATAATGTTCTGTTTCCTGTGCAAACCAAGTCCATATTATTCAAAAATATTTAGTAATTTTGGATGCCTCAGTTCTTGGGCACTCAACTTGAGACACCTTGATTATTCACCTTGATGATTATCAGAAAGTGATGAGCATCCACAACTCCATCAGAAGTTAATGGGAGCTACAAGTGCTTGGTATCTCTGAAAATTAGGCCCAAATTGTCTCAAGTTAGGCATTCAAAATCAGAGGCCACTTTTGAAAATCTTAGCCTCTATAGCTTTGTACTTGTCATGAGATGGACCAAGCCCATTGTCTGCAGCTCCTGTAGAGTATGGTTTTTGCATTATTATTGTAGCTACTTCAAACTGTATGGTGAAAATAAAATTGCAAACCACTTCAGAACCCTAGGTTTGTGACAATATTTGAAACTCCTGTTAGAGAATTATAGGAAAGGCTCCCATTGACTTCAGTGGGATCAGTCCCTGTCTACAGGAGGTAGAACTGCTCTATTTGCATGATGGTTGCATAGGGCTTGTTTTAATAAAACCTGTTCAACAAGGGGTACTGCAGAAATGGACACACAAAGAAGGACCAGCAGCAGGTATGTGTCTGAGTTCTGGCAAAACATACCTATTGGCCCAAAAAGGTGATGATAGTAAATATTTCCAAGGGAAAGGTAAGAGAAAGAATCATATTAGATAATAGACAAGACTGCCAAACCTCCTCATAGCAGCTGAACTGTAAATGTTTCTCTATACATTAAAAGAAGGACTTATAAATAATTAAGATAACATGGAAGAGTCACTTTACTTAGAGAAACTTCTCTTCTAAGAAGCCAGAGGGATCTGAGGGCTAATTACACTATATGTTAGATTTTATGTCAGTTTCGAAGGTGTTCATATATACCAGCGTGACAAGTGCAGTTTAAATACCTAGACAGATAAGATGCATGCACACCATGAAGGGCAATACACTCAGACCTAGGAACGCACTCTCCCACAAAAACAAAACAACTGAGTCATGGGTGGAGGCTAAAGGAAACACCTTGAATTGCGATCTCATAAACTAGGTAGTCAGGTGTGGCCAGTATTTGGTTGGTTGCCCCAGGGTGGTGTAGAAAGTCCTGATGACTAGTTAATAGGTGGTACTCTTCCTTCTAAGAACTTGTCTATGCACACACTGTTTTAACTATCTTGGTTTAGAAACTTAATACTGTTAAAGCGGGACAACTCCCTGGTGTGAATGCCTTTATACCAGTGGTGGGCAACCTGCAGCCCGTGGGCCGCACGCGGCCCATTAAGGTAATCCGCTGGCAGGCCACAAGACATTTTGTTTATATTGACAGTCTGCAGGCACGGCCCCCCCGCAACCTCCAGTGGCCGTGGTTCACTGTTCCTGGCCAATGGGAGCTGCAGGAAACTGTGGTCAGCACGTCCCAGTGGCCCGCCACTTCCCGCAGCTCCCATTGGCCAAGAATGGCGAACTGTGGCCACTGGGAGCTGCGGGAGGCCGTGCCTGCAGATGGTCAATGTAAACAAAATGTCTCACGGACCGCCAGCGGATTACCCTGATGGGCCGCGTGCGGCCCGTGAGCTGCAGGTTGCCCACCACTGCTTTATACCAATATAAACAGTTTGGTTACTAATCTAGGGCCCCAACTCCGCAAAGCACTTAATCTCATGCTTAAATGTAATTGAAGCCAATGGGATTTAATGCATATACTTAAAGTTAAGCATGTGTTTAAGTGCTTTGCTTAATTGGGGCCTAAAGCCAGATGTGAAAACTCACCAGAGACTGGCAGCATTGCTCAGGGCCAGCTCCTTTTTCTTTGTTTTTATTGGGAAGTGCTGCTTCATAAAACCCAAAATGGTAAAGCACCAGAATAGGCATGAGAATGGTTATATGTTAAAAAAGGGTAGATGGCAACAGGAAAACAACATGAGAAGTGGAGGTCTCATCTCTTAATCTTTTTCATATATCTATAACTGTAATAGGCAACTAGAGATTCTCGTAGTCCCAAATGCTAGTTTATGTGTTTGTCTAATGCTATCCCCTGAAATATATATCTCTTTTCATGTAGGCCCCACTCCATGTCCATTACTTGCAAAAGTCACCATCTATTTGGTTATGAAAATAATTTACAAGAGGACTTCCAGCTTGCCTTGATCTGTAGTTTTCTCACCTGCAGTGCAGTCATTTCATTTCACCGTTATTGAGTCTATGGTAGGCCTTAGAGAGAGACCCTGTGTGTTGATGACACCAAGCAGCATAGATTGTGTGTAGTTAGTTTGGGAGCTGGAGAATCAAAAAGAGCTGTGGGGTCCTATCTGTGTCCAGGTGCATAAATAAATTATTGCATTTATATTCATTATAGCTGAGTTCTGGCTCTTTTCCACTGTAGGCTGCGTGGCCATCCGTCCTTGTCAGCCGATGGGGGAGGCCATGCTTCCCCCGCTGTCACATACCTGCAAAGGTGAGCTCAAAGGGGGGAATTAGCTACAACTAGTGTTCTGGCCCTCCAGCCAGGCAGAACAGTACAGCAGCCAACAGTTAGTAGGTTCTGACCTGCCAGCAGGGCAGCGTGACTAAGCAGTCTATGAGCTTCAGGCCCAGTCAGGGCGGCGCACCAATAAAGTCTAGGGGCTCAGGCACAGGGGCCCGAGGCGCGCAGGCCTCTGGGCCTAAGGAGGAGGGAGTACTGCCATCCCCAGGGTGGGGTGGCAGGGGGGACACGGGCCCACCCAACTGCACCACATCGCAGCCCAGAGCCCTAACAGTGGTGGAGTGGTCTGTCATTGGGTCAGCAGGTAATCCACCCACAACACGCTGACCTTGTATCTGGCTGTTTCCCAACCAGATGGTTGCCTGGTTTCCATGGGCTGCTTCTTACTCTCCCCCTCAGATGTACCTGTGTCCATTGTCTCAGGGAACGCTGGCCAGTCTGCAGGCAGCTCCTCTGTGTCTCAATCGGCTGGCAGCCTGGGGAGATCCGGCCAGGGCAGCCCCGGCAGTTCCTCAGTGCCTTGGTCAACCAACAGTCCTGAGAGTTCTGACCAATCCTCAGGAGGCAACCCCAGGAGTTACTCTCAGGCTCCAGCAGCAGGCGGGATGCATCTGTCTCCTGTGGCGGCTCCCAGCCAACTGAGCTGCAGGGCCCACCTTTTATACTTCCCCTTCCTGTCCCATCCTTCCATTTCTGGCGGGGCAGACATGACTCTTCTGGTTTGGCCCACCAGGGAATGTGTTGCGGTCCCTCCTTGTCACTCTCTAAGGGAGGCCATGCCTCCTTGCTACATCCACATTCATCCATCAGCAATGTCTATAATACAGGTAGCCATTGTACCCAACCTCATACTTAGTTCCATCTTCTGATCTTTCATCCACAAGATTTGCAAAATGTTTCCAATATCTGAGAATTATTGCAAACTACGTGCATGAAATGATTTACCATCTGAAAAGTCTTGGTCAGGAATCATTTAGTCTTTGATAATTTTTTGCTACGTTCAGAAATCAAAACCGTTTCTTACAATAAAGAAAAATAAGTTGCCATTGCATGCTTGTAAATAGAGGTTTTTGTTTCCCAAACATGATACAAATGTGGGACATTGAACCATTTTGCTGTGTTACAGTTACATTCATCACAAGAATATTGCAAAGTCATCAACCTCTCACTTCAAATAACAAACCAGAGGTTGACAGGACAGAATAAAAAATAACAAAATGAGGATTACAACATCTTAAAGACAAGAACCTGGAAAAAAAATTAAACATGACAGTAACAATTACAGCCATCTAGTGGGCAAAGTTAAAAAAAAAGCTGATAGAAAAATACATGTACATTTTTTTTAAAAAATGCAAATGATTTTTTTTAATGGGCTGGTGCCATTTTTTTGTTTCGTTTTGATGGATAAATAAGACAGAAACGTTTTTTTTAAATGAGGTTTTTTTCTGCTAATTTTTGACCTTGGAAAACTCAGGAATGCCAGCTTGGGTCTGCCAATTCTGCTTTTGTTCAGAGACTTGTTGAGGTTCTCAGAGGATGTATATTGTTAGCACTCACATTTTAATTGAAAGGACAGAATTGATTCTTTAACAAAGACTTCCTTTCTCCAAATGGTCCATTAAAATTTGAAGTTAAATATGTGCTAACTTAATCAAACAAAAATCAACAAGTTTTAAACAGTGATTACAAATCTCTTCTCCTTTCAGCTGCTCTACTTTCACCCTCTTGGCTGTTGACATAATCATTTCAGAAGACCTCCAGTCATCACACTTTACGTCTACACTTACCGGAGGGTCCGGCGGCAGGCAATCGATGTTCTGGGATCGATCCTGGAAGTGCTCGCCGTCGACGCCGGTACTCCAGCTCAGCGAGAGGAGTACGCGGCATCGACGGGGGAGCCTCCCTGCCGCGTCTGGACCCGCGGTAAGTTCGGACTAAGGTACTTCGAAATCAGCTACATTATTAACGTAGCTGAATTTGTGTACCTTAGTCCGAAGTGGGGCGTTAGTGGGGACCAGGCCACAGAGTCTTTCCTGCTAGACTGG